CCAAGAAGTGAAGGCCAGGAAGTAAGAGCTGGAAAGTAGGCATGCATGTGTGGACTTTGCCAATGGACTACCTAGAAAAAATTATCTAGAAGTTAAGTCTGAAAACATCACAAAATTCTGCACGAGATGTAGTGATTACCATCTGTTTAAAGTGATGGAAAAGGATCACAGCAACATAACGTGCAATTATAGATCTGCTAGCAGAAAGCTACAGAGATAATATCAACAGGAGTGCAGCACTAGCAAATGATAACACTGTGTCGTTATTAGATAAATTCCAAATTATAGCAAAAGCATTTATCTGAATTAAACAGGCAGACAAAGATTCTGAACAGGAAAAGAATGGTCTCTTGAACATTGCACAACAGAGTCCGAAACATTTGTTGAAATATTTATCTTTAAGGGGAATCCTTGCAACAAAGTTGCTCTTGCTAATTCTGTCAAATACCTTGCCTTTAGCTACACACAGCAATTTAGTACAGCCCCCCCTCTATATATCTGAAAGAGCTTGTATGTGGGACACTAACATATTTAATGTGATTACCTCTCCTACATCAGACCAAGTTTCTCCAAACATCTATAAAGAAAATTTTAAAATAGACTTTGAAACAGCTTCTTACATAAAACTTTTAATAAGGTAATATGAACTCCCATAGTAGAATCTGCAGCATTTACATACAAGAGAATGGAGACCTTTACATTCAAACAGCAGGAGACAGATCTTATATGTACATAACCTTCGGCAAGAGATGTTTCACTGTTCTGTGCCTGAGTTTCCACATCTCTGGAATTGAGATGATGCAGTTCAGCAGGTAGAGGCCTTGTGAAGCTAAATTCACCAGTGTCAGAAAACCAGTATTTCCCTCTAAGCAAACATGAGTTACTCTTAGCATATAAAATAACTGAAAAATACATTCAGTCTATTCCCTAAAATTGTAATTAGGAACACAGCAGTAATCTCCAGAATCCTTCTGTGGACATAATGTCTACAAGACTTACTCTACATTTTGGGTGCTTTACTTATTTAGGTAAATGTTCTGCAGAACCTGTACATTCCCAGGATTTGGTCTTCACGCCAGGTAGTAAAGGCTTTTTCCTGTCACAATTATACTTTATTTCTTACCCCGGGCATAATAATCTTCTCTATATCTCCAAAGATGTTGTCCCAGCTGTCTGGGTCCATTGGGGCAGAATCCGGCAACTGGGCTCTCATGTAACCTGGCTGTACATCAGGAGTCACACGTCTCTCTCTCACATTACTCAGGTACTGGCAAATGTAATCCACCATCTCTTTCCCTGGAAGAGGCAAACCAGTGCTTTGAGTTTTGATTGCAGGAAAACTCACTAGTAGTACTAGCACTTCATGTAATCTGTCATTAGCATTGGACAGGGCTTGGAATACTGCTCCCAGAACAGCCACAGGAACTAACCTTCCTCCTACACCCTACTTGTCCCATCTAATAATGTAGAGACACAACTTCTAGAACAGGCTTCATGGGGACAGAACAGATTCACAGGGTTATTTCCGTGTCATCATTGAATAGTTCAGATGTACCTTTAAAATACAATCATGGTACAAGTACAATTTGTCTGATTACTGAGAAGATACACAGATTTTCTTACCTATAAATTAACTGAAACGGCATTTCACAGAAATTAAATTTTCATAATGCCCCATGCTTTCCTGTCATTATAGCATACACCCTTTTGCATCCTCTGAAAACAGCTGAACAGCTTCACACCTTTTCTCCACTTTTTAGGCAATCTCCTCCAGCCCTGGGACCAAAGTTTGCTCCCCATATTCAGAACTGTGTATCACTGAAGATTCATGTTGTCAGCCAGGGAAGAGCCACTGTGCATCACCCCTCAGCACAAGTTTATTCAGAATCAGTTTTGCAGCTTTCCCACAGTATTTTAAATGTAAGACCAAAAAGCTTAAGTCATCCACTGCCTCTAAATCCATTAAAGTAAACTCAACCCTGGGAGACATTTTTGTCTCAGCCTCAGCAGATCTAAGTCTCAAGGACACATGTGCAAATAAAGAATATATAGCCCATTTTAATTTTGGGTACCACTCCCAGCCTTACAACAGTTAATCTCTGTGAGCAAATGCTACCTATTTCCAAGAGCAGAGGATCACTCACCTCTCCGTCTGTACTCCTCAGGCTCCATACTGATTCCTTCTAAAAGCACCTCTTCAAACCTGGGCTTTTCACGACCTTTCAGGAGCTGTGGGCAGTTTGGTCTGGTGCCCTGCTAGCTGCTTCACCCTTTATAGCTCCCTTTATCTCTCAGACTCACGCATTCTGGAAAAGGTTTAATGTAGGCAGGTTATTGGTGAGTGTTTAACTCCTCCCAACTGAGGGCTTTTAGTCTGTCCTATGTTCTCATCTATGCTCTTTTGATGTGTAAGATAGTATATCTCTAGGAGGAGCTGCCTCTGCACTAACCCTTTCCCATTTTCAAACAATCTTTCAGAATTCTCACAGTAATCCATGTCATGAATATAAGACACATTAACATCAGACCTGTGGGAGAGAAAAAGCTCAAAAGCTTCCAAAACCAAATAAAAGCAGCCATGTTACTCTAGCACACTGAACTACTGCACTAGCAGTAGTCATTAAAACAAGGCACCAGCACATAACAAATTTGACACTGCAGGTGGAGACTTTTTTTTTTTTTTTTAAAGAATTGTAGGACTGTGTTTTCCGAAGAGCATATACCTGCATCCTCACAAGTCTTCACTCTTAATGCTGTCAGTCCCTTGCTGCTAAAAGGAAAGGCATTACAGTTATTGCCGGTTCCAGAAGTGCAATACAAAGCAGCAGTGGTCCTCTTCATGGATCTCCTGCCCTTCCAGATCAGTCCAGGTTACACTGCAGGGTGATGTTCCTCCACTGATATCACCCTAGACTGCTGAGCTGGGAAAACACATCTTCCCCCTGCCCCTCCACCTGCACTTGCTTTTCTCACACATGATATGCATAAGCACTGGGATTTAGCCTTGTATCTCCAGAATTCCTCTAAGTCCTCTACCTGGATTGTTCTCAATTTGGAAGAGCAGCCATGTAGATTACTCCTTGTTCCAGTTTTAGGACCTGAAAACACATCCTGACCTATCTTTGGCAGCATGGCCTTTGACACTGTACTCAATGTTGAGCACTTATCTTCACCGGAAGGAACTCACTTGCTCTACACCCATACCAGGCAGCCCCGGGAAAACAGAGGTAGGACTTATGGACTAAGCACCAGAAAGAGAAATTATTACATAATACTATATATGCTTGCCCTGTTTTTGCTATACCTCAGGCTCCTGCTTAGGGCTGGCCCTGCTGGAGACAGGATGCTAGGCAGACCCTTCATCCAATACATGACAGCAGTTTCTCGGTTCTCATCATAAAGAAGAGAACTGGCTGTCAGAACAGCTTTGGTTTTCTGTCTCATGTACTATAAGGTAGCCTAAATGCTTTCATTATTCTAGAAAGTCGTTAGGTCTTTTTCCACAGCATACTTTCTGCAGAACAATGTGAAAACCTTTCCTAGTTTCTGCTGTGATTAGATATTTGAGAAAGAACTGTTTCAGAGATATGACAAAGATGCTCTGATAGACACACATCAGATTAACATACTGAAATTTAAAAAAAATGATAAAAAAGGCATTGAAAAAAGAAATCCAAGAAGTGCAGAAAAAAACCCATACTATATGCATTCATCTGCTTTATCTCACATTTCTCTGGAAACATTAAGAAAAAAATAACAAGCTGCCCACATACTTAATATCAATTTATGAACCTCTCTTGGCTTTACTGTAAATGCTACCATAAAGGGGAACAAAGAAGGAGAGAAGGAACTGGCATCAAACTCAGGACCAACTCAAAAAGAGCCAAGTTCTCAAAAACTGTCATTCTAGCTACAAGTAACTAAATACATTAATATATGGACATCTGTTCAAAGAAAGCTGGTAGCTAATTACATTTATGATTTCAATTTGGAACAGCAAATAAGGAGCAATACTTTTAACAATGTTTTCAGAGCTAAACTACACAATGAATATTCCATGTGACATACACCCTACGCCTTTGCTCAAAGGTGATAGTTTCATCAGGTTGGTTTCTCGTTCTGTGCAGAAGAGAACAAACAGCAGGTCCTGTTCGGAACTAGAATAAAATAGGTGATAATGAGTTACAGGTAGGGTAAATATGCTGATGATAAATAAATTTTTGTTATAGCTCCCCTGCACTTGGAAGGATTTTGTTACAGACAATGAGGAATAGAATATTTGCTCACAGGAAGCAGAATGAATAGAAAAGGTTCTTTTCATTGTTTGCTACAAAGCTCTGTGCCGTCAAAACCGTGGGAAATTCTCCACTTGGATGTGAACACTACCACTATCACCACTCAGACTAACGCTGAAATTCTTATCATTATTAAGAGTTCACAGAGATTAAACTGTAGTTAAGTTTGTGGGATGTAAGGACACAAACATTATTTTGATCACAGAATAATTCAATTGGAGCAATGCCTAACCAGCACATTTAACCTGACTAACTGGTTCCTGCATTCACTAGAGACATACTGGATAGTTTCTGGAAAAAAACTAAAATACAGCAATTTACAGTTACTCACTGTACAAGGCTTGCTTCAAGTCCTAGTACCAGCTAAGCATGATTATATCCCTGAAAATAATCCTAAGAACTACCACCATAGGTTTTCCATTTTTTATCTTTTGATTATTTTGGGGTCAAATTTGCCAATCGGCATCAAAGTTGCTAAATTTATACCAACACTAGGATATTTAGGACTTTCCTAACTGCCAATTCTATTAACTCAAGTCCAAGTTTGAAGAAGGAAGATTTTACTTCATATTGTATAATGCAATTCATTCCCCACTCCTCCCCCTCCTACCTTTGAAGGCCATTCTAAGCTTAAAACTGTTTTTTCATATTTTTCTGAGTGCCTAACACAGCAGAGCTTTGACCCTCTAATGCCCATACAAAACAATTGAAATGGAATTGATTCTACACTCTATATATGTGGAAAAGATATTTAATTGTAAAATAGAAAAAGTAGGCCAGAGTACAGTTTTAAGGGTAATTCTTCTGTGTACAGTATAGGTAAACTAGACTTTTTGCTTAAGTTTATATAAACAATTCCATAAAAGCAGTGAAACATGGAACAACAAAGCAAAGCACAGAGTTTTATCTTACAAAAAAGGAATCTGCACAGTAGTTGCAAATTTAATGTAACACAGCACTGAACAATCTTAAGGCAGCTCAGTCTAAGCACAGGACTAGAAGCCAGGAACTCCTGAGATCTGTTCCCAGGTCTACCACAGATTCATGTGGTCTTGGGCCAGTCATTTAGCACTCCCTGTGTTGCACTTATACCAGTTATAAAATTGAGACAATAACACTCACTTACCTGCCTCAGGCAGTACAGTAAGGGTTTTTTTTAAAAGATTCTACAATGCTCTGAAGATGTAACGTGCTATATAAATCCTAAGCGTAATAGATCACTGCACAGACACACACAAACACAGTATCACAGTGAAGAACAATGATGCTAGGTAAGAGCAGCATCACTACAACATAAAAAAATTACTTGTCCAATTGCATAATTAAAATGCAAAAGTCCGTTTAGAAAAAAATGTATCACTGAAATAATTTCAAGGCTATTGGGGAAAATAGATCAATAGGAATATTCTAAAAGAACTAGTATTTGTGTTCCAGCGGAGACATTCTTTTCTATTCATTACTGAACTTCAAAATGTTTGTACAGGAAAATTGTAAGACACACAAAGTGAAGTTTCAATGCCTCCACTACCAAATTTTAAATTGCCTCTAATGTGTAAATTAAGATTTTTTTTGTTTTGTTCTTTTTAATTACAAATTACATTCTTCCAAGAAATATACCATCCACAATAAAACTGGCTGCTAGCTTACTTCAAATGACCTATAGGCTAAACGTTTTCCTCATAGTTTTTCTCATCTTTGCTGAAAAATACCTATGCAAGATGTATGTGTAGAAATTATAAAAACATGCAGCATATGTACAAACTGAAAAGTTTAAAAAATATCAGCTTCATATACATGTAAATCTACTTGGATATATCTGAAATTAAATATAAAAATTTCACCACCTAAAATAAAAAAAAAACCAAAAATGGTTTTCAGAGAATCTGAGACAACTACTTAAAGCTGTACAAAGATTTCCACCTGGAAATGTCTTATGCAGAGAAGTTTAAGTTGTTACTATGTAGAAATAACTGTTAATTCATTTTGTCACATAATTCATTTTCAAGTTGTCAGCTTAAATCAACAACATCACCCTTAAAACTGTTCTGTTTTTCAGAAGTTAGTTTCATACTAAAATCAAAAATTTCACAAAAACATTGGCTTCTCGTGTTTCTGGATCCCTTCAAAAAGATTTATCAACTCATTTTGAAACTGTAAAAAAAACAACTATTTACAGTATTTCATTTTAAATACTTTTCACAATTTCTAAATTCAGAGTTTTTATGTTACAAGAAATTCATCAGAGCTCACGGCTTAAGTCCAGTTATCAACTTGTAGCATCTTCTCTATCATGTAATCCTGTGTCTGTACCTATATAGCGTACAGTTCAAGATTGTACTGCAGGTTTTTGCAAGTAACAGGCTTTGCAGTGTGTTCATTTTTTATTAAACAGCTTCTTTATTAGTCTGGAGGCGGTTCATTGCCTCTAACTTCTGCCGATAGGCCTCTGCTTCTTGTTCTTTCTTTAGAAGCTGCTGACGATATTTTTGTGCTTCTCTGTTTGCCTCATCCAGCTGTTTCTGAAGAGTTTCTCTTTCCTATTAGAAACAGAACCAGTAGTATTTTGTCAAATATGTATCAAATACAAGTTAAAATGGCAAATACTTCTCCTTTACATGCAGCTCAAGTGTTAGGGTATCATGTAGAAACTGTACAGTTCTTACTCGGGCAAACCTATATGAATGCTGCTGTGTAAATTAGACATCAACTATCACACCAGACAACTCCCCACAATAAGGCTTGAAGTGTAAATATAGTAAACCCAAGTTTCTTTAGCTGCAAGGATACAAAGCAAGTCTTCATGGAAAAAGAGTGAAATAAAAAAGTAGAAGCATGGTGATCAAATACTAGCATACTATATTAACTTTTATCCAATGATTCAATTCCTTTTGTTACTTTTCAAAAATTGGAATCCAACCAAACAAGACAGTCCCTTTCGGTTGTATTTCTAATCAGACAGCACAATGAAGAACTGTTATCTAACAGCAGTTTGCACTGGAAAGTGACAGCTGCCCACTAAGCAAAATATAAACATAACTGGTTTCTAAATGAAGTGATCTGAAGTGATTGATACAGATGCAATCCAGAGGTATAATTACATCCCCAAGGACAGCACATTTTTATGAATTAATAGGCATTTAGCTAGATAAGCTTTTTCAATTCAAAAGGAGTAACTTAAGGCTCCATCCTGCATACAAGTTTGTTGGGGATGGCTATAAAATGGTTTCCAAGGAAAATAATACGGGAAATGCCACTTCCTATGAAGCTGCCTTAGGAGCTAAGGAGAATGTGTTTCCATCTCCAGTGATGTAGGTACTGTCATTTTGTTTGATGCTGCACTGAGCCCAATTGAAAAAGCAATTTGCTTGGAAAATAGTTTTGTTTTGATCTTCAACCAAATACCATTTCATTAAAGTGCATCCTACTTTTATGAGTAAGGTAGTATTTGATTTCAAAATCATTCTTTCCACCGTAGTTGTTAAGTAGCCACAGGAAGGAGGTTGTCAGAGAAGCGAGCTATATCACAGAAAAACAACACTCTTATCAAAAACTGAGGCCCAGTGAAAATAAGGTGCCTTTTCACCTTATTCCCATCCCAGCAGTTCAGTATCACATTCCCATTTAATACCTCAAACAGTTGTTAGAAGTTTCACCCCCCACACCCCCATAACAGCATCCCTATTCTTCACCTCTTTGATGCACTCACATATTTTCATGGTCAGAGCCTGAAAATACAAAATACTCTGCCTCCCTTCTACTTGTTACTGTTCTTAGTACTTGTCACAGTCACATTTAACAGTCACATGCTGTGCTGAATGTGCTGGAATATAATGACATAGGTGATCAGATCATTGCTAACAGCAGCATCTGTACAGCAAAAACAACAGGTGAAGGAGAGATGTTATTAACAGGTTATAAAGACTAGCTGTAATACAGAACAGAACAAACTCCATTAACTGCAATTTGATTTTACATAGGGCTTTAAGAGCTGAAGGAAGCTAGCTAGGGTTTGCTTCATTTGGAGCATATGCTAAAAAAATGAGAGCTCATCTGATCTTGCTTGCTTCTTTGAAAAGGAAGTTCAGCTTCCACCTCTGAAAATTTGGATTCTGCTTTTTAAGCAATTTTATGAATGGCCAACCCAGGTAGCAACTAGACTGACAAATGCCAAATGAATGGCAGAGCCTACATCTCAAAGGATGTGAAATACACCAATGATGTTCCAGCACCAGTCAAACCAAAACATACTGCTATTTCTGTAAGTCACCTATGTAGTACAAGGGGAGCCAACAGCTTATGTACAACAGCCTGGTGGATTAGAAAGTTTGTGAAAAGAACTACAAGACAATTCTCAGGGAAGCATTCAAAACAGTTGATCCTGCTACATGTGGAAAGCAACCTCTCCCTCTTGAGGGCACTCAGCTCTGGGATATACTGAGCCGGGCATTATCTCTCTCATGAATTTGTCACATAAAACCCCTCAGAAATCTAACACTGGTAAGAAGCAAAGCTGCTTTATCTGCTGGGCTGCATAAGAATAAGAACCACCAGTACCTCACCGGCCAGTGGTTCTGTGGTGCATCACAAAAAGCAAGGTACTATCACTACTATGGAACATATGCAGATTGCAAACATTTGGGGATGGAGAGGTTCTCAGACCACATCTTATGAGTATTTCCCACAGAAGAGATAAATAGATCCATGTACTCATAAGGAGTATAGCACATTAAGGAAGGGATAGAAAAAAAGGAGAAAACCAAGTCTCAGTGGCACAGACAAAGAGATAAAACCAGTATCTACCAGACAGACTAGCAATTCAAAGCATGTAAATTAGTCCAGCAACTAATAGGTGTAGTTTTTAGACAGTCATAGCCCTAACAGAATGAATTAAGGAACTGAGGCCAAGTATACTATCTAACTAGGCAGTGGAAAGAACCCAATGCTTCTGGAGGAACAATGCAGATCTACAGTGGACTGAACAGTGAACATTGGTTCCTTAACTTCTACATCTAGAATAGGGAGGACTATATCTAGTCTATTAATTTAATCAAATCCAGAAAGTGTTATTAGGGCATTGTTTAGAACACAACTGAAAGTGTTCTAATTATCTGATGTCCTTTTGTATCAGTATAAAAACCTACCCAAGTAAAAATCAAACTAGATGATCCTGAGTGCTCTTAAGATATCTTCCATTTTATCAGGGAATTTTCTTCATTACATGTAGCTTTTCTTATCAGTCTATATATTGACAATAGGCACACCCATAACTAAAACAACCAAACCAAGCATTCTTTTTAACGACAGAAAAAACAGGGATATGAATTCACTAATATGATTAATCTACAATTATGATTTTTTTTTTAGTCTAATGAAATGATTGTCCTGGTTCTAATGCGTGTCACCTTTCAGACATGCAACATGGGAAAACACTCGAATTCAAGAATGAAAATAAAAATCACTGTATGTTAACAAATTATGCATGAAAATGAAAAACAGTATCTGTGTGACAGGGGTTTTTTTGCTGCCATTCTATGTTTAAAATATCAAACTGTTTAGGAAAACTACCATCACCTTCAAAATGAGCTGAAACGTTTGAACTTAACAGACCCAAAAGATAAAACTGAAACACACCACTACAGCTTTATTCATTCACAATACTTTCACAGGAAAGTTTGCCACCTCACACAGATGGGAGGATGTTCAACCTAAAGACTTTCAAACTACAGTTAACTGTTCATACACTATGAATTTAAAACAGCTGAAGAAAGCACTCTTAGCCTTGAATCAACTCTTTATAATGAAATAAAGGAATGAATCACCAGTGAGGCAAAGAAACCAAACAATAAAGGTTTTCTACATTAAAAAAATATTTTAATGAGGGGAGGCATCCCACTCCCTCCAAATTCAAGTATCTACCACCTTCTGTGATCACAAAGTTTGAAGTGAACTGACTTTATGTGCACTTCTTTAATGTCCCTATTACCAAAGTGAGGTAGCACCATACCCCTGTGAACCACAATAAGGCTCCTTAAGTCAACTGGCCTCCACACAGAGGCAGAGGTCTGCATGTGCATTTCCAGTTGTACAGACAGGGACAAAGTCAGTCATCAAAACCTGCACGTAAAAGTAACAGATAGAAGTAACTCATTTAAACCAACTTCTTTTGATATTTGAGAAATGTGTTTGAAATATATACTTGAAACTGGTAATCCCCTTAAAAGAATTATTTGTACTGTTATACCAACTATGTGTAATTAGGAACATGTCAATTTATTCCTTAACCAATCTAGATTTTTTTTCCTTCACCTAACAGAATTATTAAAATACTTAAGGAAACATAATTTCCTTTATGAATAATTCAGGCAGATGTTTAAAAGTGTGAACAAAATAAATGCTTTTATTTTAACAGTCATACATTTTAAAAAATGCAGCAAGAAAATTTCAACTGTCATGATAATCTGTAATGACCACAAAGCTGCAAAGGCCAAAAGTATTTGATGTAACAACTTAGGAACGGGGAAAGCAAGTGATGAAAGGTGGTAATTATTGTTACTAGACATGGATAACATATAGCACATACTGTACAATAAAAAGTATTCAATTAGGCACAATTTGATAATATGAACAGAAGTTGGAGAATACAACCTTTGATAAATGAAATACCATGGAGTTGACAAAATGAGAACTTACAGCCTAGTCAAGGCAGACAGCAATTTTCATAAACTTTTGACCCAAACTGGTCAGCACAGTTAGAAGGAACAGAAGAAGGAATGAGATGGTTGACCTATTGTGGCTATATAATATAAAAACAGCTACAATTTTAAATTGAACGGCTACATCTATTTGTCATATATAAAAAGAAAAACTCTCTCAATGTTGTTAGGTCTTCTGCACTATAATTTAAAAAAAAAACAGGATGGTGCAAAGATGTGTAAGAGTAAACGGCTCTAGAATTAAAAAAAAAGGGGGGGGGCAGGGCAGGCAGGAGGGACAGATAAAAATTGACAAACACAGAATCTTACTGTTTCACATTTCCATTAACAGTTATCTAGATATCATGAATGGAAAGGAAACATTGCTAAAAATACGATCTCACAATCAGGACAAGCACGTGGTCATAACAGAAAGATGAGGGTACAGTACTCTCATTCACTGCTGGCGGAAAGAGTCAAGTTACTTGATAATATATTGGTACCTGGTTTTAAAAACTAGCTAGTGATCTTAAACGAAAACCAAAAATATTAACTTATCATATACTTAAACAAGTGTCACTTTTATGTGCATGAACAGAGGATGAAGCAAACAGCCCTCCTATATTTTTTTACAACTTCGTAAAAGATTAATTCCAGTAACAGGGGAAACTGAACAAGTTATTGTTTCACACACTTCATTCTGTGGCAACACAGAAATTAAACTCTACAACAACACAAAAAACAATGACCAGATACTCAGTGCTGAACACTCTCATTAACACATATCACGTAATATACTCCTTACTTCTATTTCTGCAGACTCCACACGATTTTCAACAATCTCAATGCACTGTCTCTTCACTGGCGGTTCTTCACTTATCACAGTTTCTTCAGCAATGTCTGTTGCTGGAACTGTTAATACTGAAAACATATTTGTACACATAAATACTTCAAACAATATTTAATTATATGATTTTATATAGTACAAGTAATTTTATTAACAGCAATAAAATGCCGAGATTTTCCCTTATGAAAACACAACTATATAAAGTACATTATAAAGTCAGCATGGGGAAAATTTACTAAAAACTTTAGCTGCTTGTATGCTACTAAAGAATTTTAAAATTCTTTGTTACTGAGGTCTACAATAGTTAGTTGTCACTCTGCAGTATCATTGCTGTTTTTCACAGAGTAAACAGACACAGAAGTGAACTGCAGCAGAGTTATCAGTCTGTCAGTTCTGTAACTTATGTAGCAGACCATCTTTATAATGTTTCTTAAGCAAATACTAAATACGAAACTGGCTTTTGATTTTGATTAATTAGAACACCTTCGGTAATCTGAAAATCTAGTAGTTATTAACCTTGAATGAAAAAAACTAGGGATCTAAAGAAATTCATACTCTAATTTACTCATGCAACCATCTGGCAAATAAATGTTCTAAGTGTTACTTCAATTACTACCTACACACACTCATGCTTTCTGATATGTAGCTGTACTTCTTCAGACAGACTGCAAATCAAATAATTTGTCTCCAGTGTGCAACTCTTCAAGCTCCACACTGGGAGTCCTCATGAAGAAACCAGAGAAAGAATCATTTTTGTCTAAATAGTAGTGGCAGAACATCTTTAAAGGAAACCACCCAAAATACATGCATGTCACAAAATAGCATTTATTATACTAGCAGCTTCCACAAACAAAGTGCATATGGCCCAACAGAACAATTGTGTCACCCTGGTTTCACTGGTTCTGCCACTGCTCCTCTAAAGCCTCAAGCATGTAAGGACTTGGCTTTTGCTCTGTTAAGAACACACTCCATGGGACTTGCACAGCTTGCTTCATGCATCAGATTTCTAAATCCAAGTCTCACCACCCCACAGTATTTCCACCAAGGCAACAGCAAAAGCATCGGAAGAAGGCTTTTGTTTTACTCCATCTTCTAGTTTTCATAACAAGTTTGCAAGAATCAAACTTATTGAAGGCAAAGCAAGTAGTTATCACTTTCCCCTTAAATGTCTCATTTCTCTTCCATGCAGTTTAGTAATTCTTCCATTCTTTCTCCTAATGCAGAGACTCAGCTGACATGTGGTAACTCACTGAGCTGCAGTAGCTCATGTGTCTAAGCCTTTTGCAGTATAAGAATTCAAAGACGTATCTAAACTGATAATTACAAAAAATTGTCCAAGCTATTTGCACCTAACAATTTTTTATTATTACTGTAACTAAAATAGTTCCTCAGACTCAAACCATACACATTTCCACTCACCTTGCTGCCCATCTGGCATGGTCACAATGATTGGTTGCCCTATTCCACTGGTTGGAATTGAATGCAGATTACCAAGTTGAATGCCATCTGTAACTATAGTAATAACTTGCTGACCTCCAGAACTGACAACTTGCTGAATAGCACCATCCACAGATTCTGCAGTCACAACTTCTTCTGTGGCCACAACTATCAACAGATTAGTAAAGGAATTAAGTCAATTTATAAATTAAGCTTTATGATTTCAAATGCATTTTGGTACAGCTGAGAAAAAACGTCTTCCCTGTCTTTTAAAATTTGATACCCTCCACCCCCCAATTAATGCATTACTACATATTATATTGTTCATAAAAATCTTCCACCAGGCCAACATAAAACACTAACATTTTGAAATACACATGCAACTCTGTCCTGATTTACCTTGCTCAATATAATAGGTTTTTTTAATTTAGCATGTTTCCTAATAGATACAACCCACTCAAAACTGATGCTTTGGGTTCAGCGTTAGCATAGCAGCAAGAACAGGAGTTGTTTTTAAGAACACAAATACCTTTTGCATTGTACACAAGGTGGACTAAGTTCTCCTCAACCAGTGTCTTGCCAGTTGTACCTCAGGACCCAGCCCTGATTTTTCTGCTTACCATAATGGTCTTCAAGACAGTAACAGACTGAAGGACCTCTAGAAAATCCTAAAGTTTTGTCTGTACTACATGGGTGCACCAAATACAACCACAACTCTATTTATTATACAAAGTAGGAAACAGGACTAAATGAAAAGTTTTGCAGAGTTGACATTTTTACACCTTTGAAGGAGAAAGGTAAAGCTTAAAAAGTAATATAAACATTGTATGTACATAATTCTATAGGTAAAAGTAAAAAAAAATCTCAGCTGAACTAAATATTTCAAATTCATGATTCGATAATGAGTATACAGCAGTGACCTCTCACAATTCTATATTACATCTATAAATCAAGGTAAGATAAGGGAAAGACTGCATTCAGAACTACAACACATACCACAGCTTGCACTATACACTGTAACTGGGGTCTCGCACTACCACCCTTATTTCTTAAAACAAGATACTGAGACAAAGAACAAGATTACTAGTAGCACAATCAAAGAATTTCAAGCACACTCTGTATTTTATTTTCAATTTGTCATGGTAAAAGCAAATCCTTTGATTTAAATAACAGGCATTAGAGTGCCTTCTGTCTACAGAGATGAAATTAAAACCATATAGACCCTGTTGTGATGCTCGAGATGACAGAAGGTAGATAAAACCCTGAAGCTTTCATCTTTTAAGTTAATTACAATATAACACACACACACAAATCACTCTGTAGTTCAAATAATGATGCAGTCATTGTCTTCTGAAGATCTTTATGTTCAGAGATTACTGTCCTACAGCACTGCTTAAATATTCACAGAGTGTTTATTCAGTAAACCAAAATAGTAAGTCCTACATGAATAAGTGTTGTATTGAACTTGATTTGGCTTCCAAGTACAGGATCAGCAGTAAGAAAGACCACTGTCGTAAAAATTCCAAGTTGCAAGTGCCAATACTAGCTGCTGTGGCAAACAGCTCTGATCATTCAGTTTCAAACTCAACATTGGGCTTTCAGTTCTAGAAGGAAACATTATCAGGACTTCTTCAGACCTTGAAAGAAAAATGGAGATTTTGTCTAAAAAGAAGTTATTCTATATAAAAGAAAAATATCCCCATAAATACAGCCCTTATTCCCTCCTTGCTCTCCTTCCATATCTATATCCATATAATCATTAGTTACCACACTACTTCTTATGCTGAAGGGAAGCTGAAGTCGTTCAAAACAGCAGCACTATTATTTTCAAGAATCTCTGCATTAATGTGCATTATTTTCTTCTGCAGTGTCTGCGGGGGGAGAACACCTGCATATGCAGTAAGCATATGCCTAATTCCAACATAAGCACACCAAATACTGCATTCCAAATACACATCTTAAATCAGATTTTTCTCTAATCCAACTCTGAGTTCCATACATACATTATGCACCACATTTGTACGTAAAGTCCATGTCCTTATACACACTTCATTTGAGTAACAATTAAAAAAAGCATGATTCTATTCAGCTCCAGTGAGAAGCACCTTCCTTTCTTTGGTTTTACAAAATTGATGTTTTTTTAACTGTAAGGCATGAGAACTAGGGAGAAGGGATCAGGCAAAGTTAACTTTGAAAGAGGAGAAAAACCTAGACACAAACAACATAAAAGGCAGAACCTAAGTGCTTTATCCAAGCTTATACAGTCTTAAATACAGGAGGCTAAATAGAAGGTAAGAACCAAAATGTGAATTCTCAGTCCTACAATTCTTGAGAGTATTTATAAATGGATCTTTTACAAGATAAGCACAAAGAGAAGGGGGTTTTTTTGTTGTTTCCTTTTTTTTTTCCTTGAACACACTTACTACTGATGTACAGGTGACAAAAAGCTGCTTTTTGTGCTCTTTACACTTTACAAACTATTAAAGGAGTGAGAACCCAAGAAATAATTTGCAGACAGCAAGATGCTGCAAGATTGCCCACACATCTGCATAAAAATCAAAGCAGAAGAACTGAAATAAACAGGAGGGTTAGGTGTGATGCACACTGCATTACTGAAGGTAGAAAGCTACTCCATCAAGACTTCAAGCTTATTCCTTCCTGCCTCTCATCTCCTGCCTCCTCTCTGATAATATATATCTTCAGTGGTTTACTGACATGTAACATAGGTTACACTGCACCACTGCAAGGGTAGGGCCATGAAAGATGCGAAGACTCTGTTAGTTACCAAAGTTTACTGCTGAGTCCTGAATACACATTTAATAGTCCGTAATCCCATGCAATCCCTCCTCAAGTTCCTCTCTCCTACAATTAGATCTGAGTATCATTGAAATATATTAATTGATTGAAAAAATCAGCAGCTGCTTCTGTAACAAAAGGCACTGCATTCTGGTTTTGAATAATCCACTTCACTTGCAATATTTATATGTCATAATATAGTATAGCTGTACTTAGGTACTGCTTTGATAAGTAGTAGTAGAGCTGTATTAAGAAGAAATCCTGTAGGACTTCAAAACACTTAGAGATGAAAACTCAGATATATGTTGGGATGCAGCTGTCATGCCGGCAAATCTTAGAGTACAGATCTCTTCCACATTTTCAGTGAAAACTGTGTCCTTAAGAATGATGTCTTCTGCAGAGCTGAATTCTGTGAGAATTTTTAAGTACAAAAGACTTTGGCCACGCAAAGTATCTCAGTTCTGTAAAATTTATCGTACTGACCATCACCAACAAAAAACCAAAATTAATGCATTTCTTTAGAAACGTGTTCAGAAAAATTCAGGTTACCATAAGCATCATAAATCCTTGATCAACAGAGGGTTGTTGCTCTCCATAGTGATCTCCAGTCACTAGCTTTAAAGTTAGGCTCATCTTGCTACATATCGTATCAGCGCTCAAAATCCCAAGCTAGCCTGGAAATAAGGCTATAGTGCTACATATCAGTATAATAAATACTATTAATACTAAATAAACAAAAAAGCAATCTGGCCTATCGTAAAACTCCAGTAGTTACAGACATACCATACTGCCTGAGAAAAACGGGGAGTGACGCATGCAAAACAGCACTGGGCAAGTAAAGTATGCATGAAATACTTCACAGCTTTCTTCAAAAAGCCAGGTCTCCACCAAAACACCTTTTGGGACTTTCAGAATAATAGACATTTTTATTGAAGTACACCATATAGCCTACTTCAGAGACAAAACCTAGGGATTTCTGTGTCCCAAAGCTAGGTAACAAAGAAATAACATAGCACTTGACATCCTAAGTGCTAGTTTTACCCGATTTTTATGCAACGGCAAGACATTAACGTACACCATAATTGGAAAATATGGTCTGGCACAGAAATGTAGTGGCATCCTCTTACAAAGTACCTCTAAATAATTCAGAAGCTTTTGATCGCGTTTTAACTTAATTGTAGATGGTATTACAACTTGCTTAAATCATAAGAGGAGGTCTTTTCCTTGCTTGTACCTCTTTCTCAACCCTGTTAGTGGCAATGACTAGTCTTTATAATCCACTTTGATGCTGTAAGACTCGCAACTGCGATTTCTTTCTTCACTTTGCATATTGTAATGAACAAAAGTGAAAAAGTACACAAAGCAAGCAACACATTATTCATAAAGAATGGAGAAAGATATCCAGGGCAACTTGCAGAGTATGAAACCTTAACCAAAGGGTTTTTTTCAGACAAAGCATTAACTGGCAAAGATCCATGGGGCAGGGGTGAAGGGTTTTTGTGTTAAGAAAAAGGAATGCAAAACTTGCAAACTAGGGGCAATGGAATTTCTTGTGTCTTTCTGGCTTCTTGTCATGGCCTTATGGAATAAGAGAGTGTGCACATGGCTGCAGCAAGGGATGCAGGCTGCTTTTTCCTAGGAGAACAACAATGTATTGCTAGGCTTACATTTACCTGAAGTGCCATGGCAGCATATCATTCTGAAGTGGGACATACTAATCACTACGTATTATTATAAATGCAAGTAGAATGCCTCAATGTTGAAAATAAGACCCACAGACATTCCAATGGGAAAACTGCACATTAAGATCACCAATATTCTTGTGCCTTTTGGGTGAAAGATTAAGAAAACTGCTGACAAAGTATATGCAAACAACATTGGGGGCCATTTCCCAATATTTAGCAGAAAGAAGGATTTAAGAAAACACTCTCCCACCACATGCAACTAAACTGTATGTAGACAAAGATGTAAATTCAATCTTCTGAATTATGCTTGCTTTCAGCAAGATGAATGCTACTCACATTAGGCCCAGAGGTATCAGCTGTGGTCAGAAATCTTATTAAGAAATAACTGTATACATGAATCTGGCAACCTTCCAGGTAAAAGCAAAGGAAAAATTTTGCTCATGCTGAAAAAAGTAAGGAAGATTGTCATCTCATTTCTGTATGAACTGTACCTCCAGAAGTGCCAGTTATGTACTTTTAGTTTATTAAATGAGGTTAAATGACTTGGCTTTCTAACCTGGTGTTTCTGAAGAATTAGACAGTGGAGCTGATGCTTCTGCTAAAGCTGCCAATGTGGCTAATACTGATGTTGATGAATTTCCAAACTGTACAGCAGACACTCCTGTTTCATCTAGTAGGATGAAAAAAAAAAAGTTAGCTGACATTTAAAAGCAGTGAAGTCCCGTTTTTATTATTATTGCACTGAAGCTTCTAAGACACACTCTGTTCTCAGCAACATTCTACCGAACCAAAGTGCTATTCTAAAGGCAAGTTTGTTAAGCAAATACAACTTCCGATAATTTATCTCTGTAAAGAATGTTGTTTTAAGTACCTAGATATTTACAACACATAAAAACCACTGAAGAGGAACATGGTAACTAGTCTATTCTTACCACTGTTTTTCCTCAAGCCTTTTCACTAAATGGTGAAAATTAGTTAAAGTATAAAATCCCAGTAGCTATCCTATAGACATCTAAATACCTGTTCCATTTGATGTATTTGCAGAAGATACCAGACCTGTTAGGTTCACCACCCCTCCAGGTCCAATGATGAACTGTGGTGTTGCTGCATGTATTGTCACAGTGTCCGGACTCTCTGGATTCGTATTGATTTGGTTCTGCATTGCAATCTAGGCGACAAAGGTAATATTATAATTCCAATTGTAGCTATAAAGGAATTATTTACCAAGAACTAGAATTACTGCACATTCCAATCAAACAGTAAAGATCTCCCTCATTATACTCATGCAATATACACACATCATGTCACATCTTGTGCTCTGTGTAAGTACATGAGAAACATGGTTTTTTGGGTGAAATCTAAAGACAAAAAGTCTGTTGAAGTGAAAGACAATAATGACACACCACCACTTCTCCTTACCTACTTTTGTGTACTTACTGTACACAAAAAGGACCATATAAAGACAAGCCTCTTTTGTAGATATGCAAGCTTATGTATCTAAAATAGAGGCCTGAAGAACCAAGACTGCTGTGGCAACTACATGCCATGAAAATTGGCTCTGACAGCTTAGTAATTGCCAAGAATTGTAGATGGCAGTCTTCTTTTTGTCCTTCTTTGAACTATTATTGACTTCTATTTACTATATCCTTTCTGCAATGAAGAGAAGGCTAAAGGAACAGACCAGAAGTTCACAAAGTTCAAGATGTAGAGGAATAACAGATTTACACAGTGGCATAATGGTGTTTTTCATTTGCTTTCTATTCTTTTCTCAATAATGCTCAGCACTTAATTTGTCTCCAAGAACACTATTGAACAGTAAGCACACATTTTCATGGAAGCATCTATTATAATCCCAATCCCAATCATTTCTCCAACAATTCAACCCTTGTGTTTCTAATTCAAGAAAAATTGCCATCTTTTCTCTCCTTTCCTGATCTCCAATTGTTAGGAAATTAACATCCATATATGAAGCTAACTGAACACTAGGGTATAGTCAAAACATACTGGCAGAGCAGGGAGTTAAGTTTTACACCTTGCTTGTGAAGACTCCACCTAGTTCTGTGTACTACAACACTCAAATTTAAGAAAATAACGCATACTTATCCTTGACTTTGTAGGTGGTGAAAATGTTCTTCGACCAACTAATGTTTACTAACATAAATCTCATTTCCATGTCATGAACTAGACTGGAGTTTAGCATTACCAGTCAATATATGGTCTCACAGCTGCTGTATTAAAAGCTTAGGTTATTACATGTGTAAACAAGTACTTTGCTGTAAGTTCCCTTAACATCATGAATCAGAAATTACCTGTAATATTTCTGCAAGGTCTTCATTTCCATTGTCTACTGCAATATCTAATGCCGTTTTGCAAAATTTACTCTGAGCATGAACATCTGCTCCATACTTTATCAAGAGTTCTACAACTTCTTGGTGGTTATGTTCAGTAGCCCAGTGAAGCGCAGTCATTTTGAGCATGTCCTTCGCATTGACATCAGCACCGTGCTACAAACAAAATCACTGCATAACTATGTCATGAAAATTATCTGAATTAAATAATGCTGGTCACAGAACAAAGCCCCAAATTGTCTTTCTCCATCAGTAATGTCCTGTTATCTTACATTTACAGATTTATTAAAAGTACTTCAATCTAACTACCAAATAAATTATTTACCTCAAAGGATTAAAGACTCCCTAAAACATAACATGTCTTGGTTCTAAAAGCTATTACTCACACAATGCCAAATTAGGAAGTAGTCTTATTTTGAAACAGAAATAAATAATTCACCTGAAATCATGATGATTTTAATGCTAAAATAAATTAGAGTTTAATAGGAAAAAAAAAAGCACCCAATGCACACAGCACAAATATTTATATCATTTCAATGTTGGTTTCATAACTAGAAGGAAATTGCAAATATTTGATCATAAACCATTGTAATATCCCCGCCTCAGACCTTGTTTCAGCAATCTTTACCTTAAGTAAGACTTCTACTATGCTGGCATGGCCTTCTGATGCTGCCATATGTAATGGAGTTCTGTCCACTTTGGTTCTAGCATCCCGACTTACACCTGCTCGCAGCAACACTTCTGTTGTTGAGTAGTGTCCATACTGTGCTGCTAGATGAAGTGGAGATGTTCCCAACTGTAATGTAACAGAAAAAGTGGAGTTTTAACAGATGTCAGTATGAAGTATTTCTTATTATTATGGAGTTACCAAACTCAGGTGTCAGGTCACCGCTTCAAAATAATTTTCTCTTGCAGTCTCAAGGAAAGAAGATGTCAGGGCTTTTACATAGTATGAAGAGAAAAAAAAAAAAAAAAAGGTTTGGGTTTTTTTTAATACTCATAACACACTAAAACCAGCTCACTGGAAGTAAGTTTTTGAGGTCTGTGCTACGTTTTTTCTGTCTTTCTGAGGTGTGATGTTTCAAGGGGCCTAACCCCATTTTTAGTGTTGGTCAACACGCCATACCAACACTGGAAGGGACCTCTGGAAGTCACTTAAGTCCAGTCTCCTGCTCAAAACAGAGACAACTTGAAAGTTAGGTCACTAAGTAGATTAAGGCTTTTAAGAGCTTGTAAATACCCTAGCATTTTAGGTACCTGACCTCCCTATACAACCTATTCAAAAATAGGCACCTCCAAAAGACAACTCGGAGGCCCTACATCAGGGAACTCTCAGCTGCACATATTAGATAGTTGGGACTGCTTTCTTAATTCAGGGCTTTTGCTATATTAAATGCATAAACACAGTAACTAGAAGGATGATTGCTGCTTTCTCCCATTAACCACTTGAAAGCTCATCTTAAAAGCCACCAGAATGAGCTCATTCAGTCTGTTACTAAAATCAGTAGGAGGTTATACAAAGAAAAAGACAATTTTAATTTTGAATTGGACATTAGATGATGTGACTGCAGAAATCCAAGAAACTTGCAAGGATTGCACTATAAATGCTTAATTGTAATAATCCTATTTTCTTCTTCAGGTGAGAAAAGCAAGAGGATTTACCGAACACTGCAAAAGTTTTCATTACCCAATCTGTGGTAAAAGGTGCTCCATTGGCCATCAAAATGCGAACTTCATCATCTTGACCTGCTCGTGCAGCTTCTAAAAGTTTCTTTCCCAAATCTACTAGTGACATCTAGTGAAGGACATAAAGGAATATAAAGAAAAAATAATAATATTAATACTATTTTAAGTACACAGATGCCACTGTCATTTTATTATTATTATTATTTCTGAACTACTCTGAAAAGTTGAAAAGCTGGAGTTGGTATTTTACCCATGAGAACAAGCTTTACTGATTGCAATAAGCAGCTTGATTTTAGAACTACTTTTGTCAGCCAAAAAGAACGGACACTGAGGTAAAGATTTCAGTATTACAGTACTGTAACCATAGCAGCTGTAAAGTTATATCAAACTAAATTTAAAGTGAACTGTATGTACATTTCTTAGAGCAGAAAGTGGTTTAGAAGCTCTCACCTGATACCGCAACCTTCTGTAGCTTTGTCCAGCTTTCAGATGGTACTACATCATGGCTGCTATGTCACACACCCAAAGGCACTACATTCACTTATCCAAAATGCCTACACGTATTTAAGAGGTACCACTACGCAAACGCATTTAGATAGATATGAAACACAACACCGTTCTGACATCTTGTCTGCCCATCACTATTATTTCATTTTGTTCACCTTAAAATATAATTTGTCTTCCTAGCTACAAAACGATGCAATAAGCATATATTACTGTACTACATGCATCAGATATGTGAACTAAAGCGTCTGCCTGAAAACAAACACTACTACCTGCTTCAACTATCTACAGTTACTAACAATATGTTAAATGCAAAATTTTGACTGAGACATGACCAAGATACTAGCTGAAAAACTTTCGCATCATCTTTAGATTATGTCCCTTTTACAGCACTTGAAGTTCCATATAATACAGAGCATGCAAAACTATATGTAGACAAATGACACCTATCTATGTTTCTGCTGGATCAAAGATTTCCTAGTATAACATATTTTTAAACCCACTCTATTTCATACGTGCTATTAAATTTGTTCAGTAAAAAGAAAATTTAGAACTAAACCATAACTCACGCTACTAACCAAAATATATCATTAGCGTTTTAGTCCTATACCTATGTTTTCCACTACCAGGATGGTAAAAATGGAATTACTTTCACCAATTTAGTTTCCAGTCACAAGCAAAGTTAAGCCTGTATTACTAGTAACAGCAGTTGCAATGCCATGCACACAATTTCCTACACAAAGCTAGAGTATATCAGTTCAGAAAGAAATCCCATTAAACATACACTTCTATCACAAAGCAAACATATTTAGAAAGTTCTCTGCACCTGGCTCAACCGGCAAAATTTTTGTGGTATGTTGCTCAATAAGCTGAAAGCTATTGACTTGGGAAGAAATTAGAAAGGAAGACAGAAATACTGCAAATGCAGAACTCCAACATGTATCAGCAGAGCCATGAACTGGAGCAGATTACCTCTTTGTCTACAGAACTGACTGCAGGCAGCAATATCCCCTTCACCAAAATAATACTCCATTTATGTCCATCCTTCTAATACACATGGACATGTTGATTTGTCTCCAGCCAGAAAAGGGAAGAGGAGCAGGAAGGTGGCAGGACAGGACAAATACTGACAATGGGAAAAGGAAGGAAAAAAGGAGCACAGAGTCAGATGCAGAGGAAGGGACAACAGCCGACTCTCTTCCATAAAGAGAAAGAGCAAAAGAAAAACAGGAATATAAGAAAATCTACTATCCCTGTTAAAGGGAGACACTAGGAGCAATGATATAAAACAGTAATACGACAGACAGGGCATTTGGCAAGTGCAGCACTGAAATGAAGGAATATAGCACTCCCTTTATATTGCACCTGTTTCGGGTTTCTTTGGCGGCATGGGGGGAGTGTGCAATTTAAGAAGGAAAAGAGCACACGCAGACACACACACTTTTTTCTGGTGGTCTAATACCACCACATCAAGGTCCTCAGAATCAAAAGGAAAGCTGGAACTTAATGCAAAATACTGAAGTTAGTAACTAGTTCAGAAAGACAAAAATTCATTTTCCTTGTACTTATTTTTGTTTTAAACACCAGTAGAGAAAAGGAACTAATAAAGTCTCTGTTTGGAATTACAAAATATTTGAGGCTGGAGGGGGACAGACCTCTCAAGGTCACCTAGTTCAATATCCCAGTCAGAGCTGGTCGAACAGACTCAGGCTGCACAGGGCTTGGTTCTGTTGAGTTTTGAATGTCTCTGTGGACGAACATCCCTCCACTTCGTCAACCTCATTCCAGTGTCCAACCACCCTCACAGTAAGAGCTGCCTTCTGTGTATACCTGTCTTTCTCCACTAACCAAAAAGACAGCCTTGATAACAAGCTTATACTTTATGTGTTAGACAACAAAAATAGGTGAATTAAATTACAGTCCATACATTTAAAAACTACACCTATTCAGAAGCCACTGACCACATCTATACTGGTGAAATAAACTGCAAAGTTGTTATCAACACCCTATGCAGCAAAATCAAGCAGCAAAAAGAAAAAAAAAATCAATTATGGTGGCCTGCAAAATACAAGGCTCACTCCCAGGAGATATAGGGACAAACTTCAGCCTGAGATCAAGACCTTTTCAGAGTCTCTCTGAACCACTACTGTTGAACACACCGTCAGAGTGACAGTACATCAGTTCTCATCTCAATGCAAAACTGAACAGCTTTGTACTACACTCAATAAGAAATGTTCTAATCAAGGAAAAAGAGGGACATGGAAGATCATACGTGACGTAACCTTCATTACCACGTATTACTTGCATTAACCAACACTCTCTTGGTTGATATAAAGTGTTTGTATTTTAAACAAGCACAAAGCATCACAGAAGTTTACATATGTTTCATGATGTAGAATTTTAACTTTAGTTAAAACAACATGAATTTATTTTAGAAGTAAAAGTTTCAGTTCTCATAGGGTACTTGAAAGCATGCTTGGGCCATCTAGTGGAAGAAAGTTAAAAACCTAGCAAAATTACACTGTTGAACTCAAAGATAAAAAACACGTTGTATGTCACTAATACACTAACAACAGTAACTGAAGAGGCCTTTCCAACGAAACTCATGCACATTTAGTCACTTTCAACCAATGAATACTAGCATTCACAAAATTTCTCAAGAGTAGCTGATTTCTACTTGGCAGATCATTCCAAGGACCAGTAATGCAAGGTCAGGAAACCCTTGAGTAATAACATGCCCCACACTTCCCCCCATACTCTTCCACTGCTAGCACTGAGACATACCGAGAAGGGTCTGCAGTGTCAGAATTTCCCTTTCCGGAAAAATTCTTCAGCTGCTCTCTTGAGATCGTTTAGTAACACTACAATAAGCAGTGATACTATCAAAAGCAAAGTTCTATATACAGTACAATAAAATATATTTAAAATTGAAATGAGATTTCCATTTCAAAGCAGCACTCTTAGTTAAGTACTGCTGCTGCTTTATGTAGTGTCACAAATCAACTCTACTGAACTGTGTTAGAGGGTACTCTTCAGTAACTGTGTCATTTCTACCAAGCTTGGCTAGCACAACAGCTGGGTAATGCTTTATATGAGGATTCTTTGAGACAATAAAAACATCACTGGCTCTGAAATAAAGTTTTGAGACTGTTATAATTATTCTTATGGCAATCTGAGTATGTTTTTGGACTTCTAACAGCTCCTACACAACTGTGGGAACAGAGGGTTTTGTCTACAATTGAGTAAAGAGGGAAGTGCTTCTGCCGGGTTTGGACTTCTTTGTATTAACCACCTCCTGAACTTCCACATTTCATTATTGCAATGCATTCTGTACAGTATCATTAGCCAGATGCCACAATTAACTGGTAATTAAAACTTAGATCAAATTATTATTGCAAATTCTATTATATACAGAAGTATATTTTACTTCTGTTCAATAGGAAATCATACTGCTTTTTTGTATCCATCTTGGATTTAAGTTTTTATACGTTCTATAAAACTCTGAACATCATGCTGTTACCAGAGGGGTATATAACAGCACTTGAGCAGAGTTTAGGTGGAACTGTGTGTGAAAAGGGCTCTGTGGGGAGGGAGAGGAGCTGAAAAACACACAGCTTGGGAAGCCTGGGGTACCACACCACAGCCTACGGACAACAGAGCAGACAAGTCTGCAGTCCAAAGGAAGAAGACTAGGTTTGGCTTAAAATATTGCAGCACCTTTCAGACTGCTGTCCTGCCCCAAGGATCCTGCACCCAGCCTTATTCCCCTTCTACCACTGCAGTGGTGAACATCAGCTAGTCAAAATCAACAGGCACAAAACAGTTGTTGCAGAACATCTGCTAACATGGAGAAGTCACAGCCACCAGTGTATTTCTAACCAAGGTATGCTCCTAAAAGAGACATACTTACACTAGAAGAGCATGGTCTGCAGCAGTGCAATTTACCAGAAGGGAAACTGAATCAATATACACTGTATCTGTGATAAGGATTTCCAACCACTCCTAAAAAACCCAGGACGAAGTTCCATAAAATGCTAATTAAATAGGTTTCTCTACTGAAGTGACATGTAGCAGAATTGTGCTTGGAAGACAGCTTGAGACCCATCATCTCTCACACCCATTACATCTGGAAAAAGAATGCCCTTTTCAGAATGTCTTTTTCTTTCCACTATTTCAAAAAAATCAACCTGCTTCGCCAGACCTGGTCTTTAGAAACACTATCATCCTACCAATTTCAACATTGCACAGTATCGCTAGAAATTTAGAATCGTAATTCCTAACTAATTTTATATGCCTATCCATACTAAGGTCAAGAATATTCTGAAGTACAAATAGTTAGCAAAAACTATTTAAATCTTTAATCAAGCACTCAGTTCTGTTCATTAATAGAATTGAAATAATAGGATCAACTTGCTTTATTTTTTTAATCTTTTTTATATCCCGATATAACAGCGCAATACTTGAACTCAGAACAACTCTTCAAAAAGTTTTTTATTTCAATTAGTTTTGTAACCTTTTAAAGGAACCAGAAGGTCTGCATTAAACCTAGGTGTATTTCCATGTGCTAGCATCTCTTGGAAACTTTGGTATGATTTCACCATATATATCATGCAATAGTGATTACAGTGACTTACGTGGGATAAACTCAAAAAGTTCCTGTTTTGTTTCCTAAGGGAATCATAGCCTTCCAAATGTGTTTTGACAATGATTTCACATGTCATACTTCAATTCTCAATATAAATAATCATAGGCTTAGAATATCCACACTTCCATTATGATAATGAAAATTACACTAATATACTGATTTAATTCAGTGCTTTTATTCAGTCAGCTTTAATTCCAGTGCTTTCAGCTTTCCTCTATGACAGTGTTGTGTTCGTAACTAAATTCTCTCTAGTTTGTTTAAACAGCAACATGACCTTCATGTTGGACTAAGTATGCATCAGATGAAAAATATCTGATCTGAGAAAAGAGATCAGAAAAGCAAACATATTGTTGAATAGCTTAGCGGTTAAGATAGTCAAGCCTGTATTTATGCAGGTCTGTCCACCAATTAGGTGCATACATTAACTTAAATTAGCACCAATCATCCATGTAACTCCATTAAATAACGCGGATGGTAAGACAGTCTTGTCCTGAAAAAGGAGAGCACAGATTTGGCCATTATCTGCAACAAAATGCAACATTTAAAAAATATTGTTATGCAACAAGGGTGAACCATTGGCACCAACCAAGACTTGGGTTGGCACTGCCAATAAGCAACAAACCTTTCACAGATAAGTTTGGCACTAGATGCCAAAAAGGTCACATTACCGCAGCTATGATTGACATGAAGAATCCAAGGGCTTGTGACATAGCCTTTGAACTGTACTACAGCCTTAAGAGTATGTCTCAGATTAATTGAAACTTGAAAATATCCTCAAACAAAAGTCACCAGCCTCTCCAATTAAAGCATCTGTTTTATTATGAGGAATCTTCCTCGACAGTTTCCGTCTGGCACATAGGCCTTAAAAAACCTAAAAAACAAACTGCTTTCAGCAAAGAAAGCAGGTCACAAACAAAGACTCTATGCCTAGTGTACGCTGATCTGCCGTGCACACTCTTATTTACACAGCAGATTTATGTACCCTTACGGGTATTTCTGTGTGCATACACGCTTCAACCGAACTGCTTAGTCTTACTAACACTTCAGAAATCGTGAATAATTTTTAAAAAAACATTAAAGTACTCCAAGGTGGGCATTCACAATTTTTAGCCCATTTAATATGGAGCATTTGCCATTCAATAAAAGCTACCTTAGTAAGCAGGTTAAAGGACAAACATACAACTGCTTTAAGTTAAAAACTCTAAGCACAGACGACTTCCTTCAGGGGATTTCACCGACGTGCTATCAGACAGCGTCTCACCAGCAGACACTACCTCGACTAGCAGGAGAGAAAAGAAAAACCACAGTCCGACCTAACGCATCGTATCCCACGTTTATGCTACGCTCCCGTCCTACGCTTTATTAAGAGTCCAGAGCAAGAGTTACAGATTCCGGGTGAGGGACACCGCAGCGGAGGGAAGCGCTCCCCTCCCACCGAAGCCGCCTCTCCTCAGGGCACCTTTGGCGCCAAGCGCCGGCAGGCAGCTCGGCCGCCCCCGGGGCGCCGGGCCGGGGCAGGAACCGGCCGGCCCGCCCCACGCGAGGCCCGAGGCCGTCCCCACGCGGCCCAGACCAGGCTGCCCGGCGG